GCGAACCCAACCGAAACGTAACGAAATAAAAAGAAGAAAGAAAAACAAAAAACTAAACGAAAAAAATAATAAAAAAAAGGAAAAATTGTTGCCAGAGTGGAGAAAAAACAAACTCTGTCGCACTTTTGCAAAAGTGTACTTGAGACTAAGTGGGGAAAATATTTTTACTTTTATTTTAAACAAATTTTAAATGGGAGCTGAGCTGAGCTGAACTGAACTGAGATACATTTTTATTTATATTTTCATTTTTTTCCCTCCGCAGATTTTTTTTATTTTTTTTTTTTGGTTTTTTTTTGTTTTGATTTGTAATGCTTTTCTGTCTTTGCTTTTATATTTTTGAGGTGCAAGAGTTTATTTTTTCGTACGTTTTTACTTCCATGGCAGCACATTTGTGCCACAAATTTCAAGAGGATTATGGAAATTACGTGTTGCAATAAAGTAAGTTGTTGTTGTTGTTGTTGTTGTTGTTGTTGTTGTTGTTGTTGTTGTTGTTGCTGTAGTACTATATTCACTTACATAAAGCTTCAGTTCAGAAAATATGTAATGTGATGTTTGCTCCTGGGGTATTTATAACACGGGCGCCCGGCGCTCACGTGCTTAAAAATAAAATTATGCAGATATGAATTACGTTTAATTTTAGCTTGTTTAAAAATAAATTGCTGCACTTCTGGAGTCTTTAAAAAATTTACTATATAATGTGCCCTACTGCAAAATAAAAACATTTTTAATTTTTTTCACATCTTAACTTATATTAATGTACATTTCACTTTCTTTAGGTTTCTTTTATATATTTTGAGTAAATATATATAAAATCATTCAAAATAATAGAGAAAATTAGATATGACTAGATGGATGTTTACCTAGGAATCCCCAGTTACTGTATCTTCGAGATGATTACGAATGCCAACTATCTTCACTTTCTTCGATTAACTAAAAAGGTTAAACTAAACTTACAACATCTGTAGTATCCTAGAAGGTCTGGTATGAGTATATCAAAATCAGAGCTTAGGAGCTAGTAAGAGTAAACTTAACTTAAAACTTGTCTGATATTTAGAGTGATCAGTCATAAATATAATGAGAACAAAGTTTGGGAATTTATTTTCAGAAGATGATTACAAGCGACACCTATCTACACTTTCTTCAACTAGCTAATATGATAAATTTAACCAGCAACATATATAATATTCTGAATGACTTATTATAATAAGATTATGGCCTGTGAAGTTACTTCTTAGAAAGTTTTGCTTCAAATAATAATCTAAGAACTTATAAAAGTCTAAGAATTTATGCTCCTGAACATGGTTACGAGTGGCGAACTGGCACTTCTATATTAGGATTAGGAACCACCTTTCTTCACATACTTTACCAAATTTGTAAGGATAAACTAAACTGAGCTTAAAACATGTGTAATCAGATATAAAGATATATAATCAGAACAGAGACTGGGAGTTTATTCATATGCAGTTAACTACGAGTACCACATATCTACATTTACTTCAGGTAGCTAATAAAGATAAACTAAACGTACAATATGTGTGATATCCTAGATGATCTGACATTTATATAATGAGATCAGTGCTCGTGAGTTTATTTCTTTCAAAAACGTAACAAGTGACACAGATTTTCTTTTTCTTCTGCTTGATAGTAAGAGTAAGCTTAATTTACAACATAACTGATATGTATCTCGTGTAACCCAACATTAATATAATAACAACGGAGCTTGTGAAATTATTATTATGGACTTTGAACTATTTGCATGTGGTATTAATAATATACCCCATACAAACTGTATAGTCATGTCATGTAAAACACCATACAGTTCCATTACATAAATACATATATTTAAAATATGATTTTTTTATGGAAAATGTAGACATATTTCCGGAGTATATTAATTATGTTATAATAGTGTGGCTAAACTATATCGTAAACGTAAACAACAAAATCTGTTCAAATTTAGGTTTCTAACGCAAAACAGATCAGTTGATAGATAAGTATCACTCGCACTAACGCTAATATATCATCATAAACTGTTTATTATATTGGTGCAAATAACCACTATAATATATTACTCATGTTGACATATTTATATTTTGGTTGCATTTGTCCAATTGTCTATATGTCAAGCGATTACATATTGATACCTTAAAAGGAAATATATAAAATGAAATTGTTTATCTATTCGACCTTTAATAATTTGTTTTCTACTCGGGGACTATTTTTGAAAAAATTGATTAACTCCATGAAGAAAACCTCGGACATAAATCAAAAAGGCAAAAAGTGTCCTATCAAAATTGGTAACGAATATCATTCCAGTAGTCAATATCAGATTGAAAGATATAACATTACAAAATCGCCGTCTTCAGTGACATCAATTTTATTTCATAAACCAAGTAGATATTCAAAAAAAAAAAACAAAAAACAAAAAAACTTTAGAAACATTTACTTATGTTACGACGAAACAGTTTAATAATCAAACAGCCCCGTTCAATACAAAGTATAATCGCATTATAAATTTAAAGTGAACAAGGCAGGACGGTTTTGATATCTATCTATTATATGTTAATTTTATATTAAAATCAAATTATATTGAGAATTCCTCAATTTGTATTTTATAAATGAAAATGTTTTAACTTAATGAGAATTTTCAATTTTACTTGTGTGAGACAAGCTTGCTTCATAGCAGCACTATTATAATTATATTATTGACTTTTCAAATTTGGTTAATTTTCGCTCAAGAACTACGTCGATTCTAAACCGATTTAACTCGGATATTCAACCACAGACGGGAACTTTATTTAAACATGAAATAAAGTTCTTGCGTAAATTAAGAAAAATTTTGAAAAAAGTTTGTAACGATGACACAATTCTGTGTTCTTTGTAGATATAATAGTTAAATCTTGGAACATAAATATAGCCTAAATGTGTATTTAGTTTGTGCTTAACTTTAAATAGCGAAATATATTAAATGTCAATTGATCTTATACATGTGAAAATGTTTATACATAATAAGAATTTTTTAAGTATACAGACCATATATGCTTTATAGCAGCACTACAATAATTTATATTTCACGTTGTTGTCTTTTGCCTCGAAAGAACACAGAATTGTATCGTTACTACATAATATTTCAAACATGTTTTAAAATCTGTGCACAAGGGAAATTTCTCATATAAAAGATAGCTCATATCGATAGAAGGATTTTGTAATCCATTGCTATTTGTCTGTGGCAAAAAGTCACATACGCATAGGAACTGTAGGCTCCATTATATAATTATAGTAGAAGTTAGATGAAAACAAAGCAATGACCGATTATCTTTTTGTTTTCCCAATTTTGGTTACAAGATGAAAATACTTTTTTAAAAATATCTGTCATATAAATTTAACCAGATGCAACTAATCTGACGAATATTCATTATAAATATCAAACATAACCAACAATTATTTCTTTATATTATTATATTAAAAATCAAAGTTAAAAATAAAAATAAAATAACTAAATAATCAAAACAGAAATAAGATATTACTGACCTAATGCACTTTTTTCAGCATTAGCTTTGTTACTAAAAACATTTACTTATATTTAAATTAAATTAATTTAAATTAACCTAAGCGACCTGCCTCAATGATTTTAAAACTTTTTGCTACATTAAAAAATTAACACTACTCAGTTAATTAGATATGACTTTCTTAGGTGCAAATTGAACGCTGGTGATGAATACCTTCGTCTATGCAATTATAAAAGATAATAAATTGAGTGATATTATAGATCGAAAAATATTTAAAACTAATAAAAAGTGTCTAGCTAATAGGAATTATGTTGTATGCTATATTAACTATATATACTAGGCTCTAGGTATATATTGTGAGGACCAAATTTTATGAAACTTATAACGACCTTTTCCGGCCCTATCTATAGCTGGTACACTCGCTGAGTTATACCATACAATATACTATAAAATATATAATGTTAAGGCCATTCATTATTTTCAACATATTTTATAGACAACATTAGTTAGTTGGAGAGAACATTTTTGGTATATAAATGGTATGGTAAATGAACATGGTATATATAGGTATACAAGTATTTAAGCATTCTTTGTATCGCTTTTTTTTTTAAATTGAGAGTTTATTAAATTTGAACTGATTTTGTTGTTCACGTTACGGTGTTATTAACAATTTGTAATCGGTATATGTTTTTATAGTTTCATAGATATATGCACGAGTAAGTTAATTTTTACGCTTACTTAACGTCACCACTAATTGCTTTTAAGTAATCCTCGATCAGACACGATCCTTAATCACTATAATTCTTACTGTTGTTTAATTTTTAAATTATATTGGAATATATAAAAAATATTGTTATGGCACTGTCTTATGAAAATATATATCTATCTGTCTATATGCATCTATCTAACATATATAACTATCTATGTATATCAGATGAAAGTTTTAAGTTGTGTGCCAGCCGGTGTGTAGTGAGAAAAATATTATAATAAATATTTTTTAGGCCATATTTTTGCAATCTACTATATTAATCATCTTTAGATTATAGTGTGTAGGGGAGGTTTATCCCGTTATCACTAACCTGGGAACGCCACTGGTGCCTGCTTAAATTATATAATTGATTTGTGGCGTATTTATTTTGTTTGTATTCACATTATCTATTATATACACAGAACATATATACATTTGACCGATTGTAGCTCATCAAAAACTACTCGATAAAGCCAGTGGTCAAGACTTAATAATCATCTCTGCACGATTTCTCACAATAAAAAGGTAGAAAGTAAAACACAACCAAAACAAATTTTTCACCAACAACAATAACAATAACAATAACAAAAGCTTCAATGAAATAACAAAAAGCAACAATAAATAAATCATTTCTCCATTTTTCATTTTGCTGTAACATTTCCATGAAGAAAAAATGTAGTTCGATTGTGCCACTTTCTAATCCAGTCATTCAGTTGTGGCTCATAGTTCGAAACACGAAGATGATGTTTCTCTACGTACTTGCATGTTTGCTATGCGGTTTGTTTTTGTTGATTTCGTTGTTTTTGCATAAACGGTTCACCTATTGGGAGAGACGTGGAGTAGTGCATGATAAACCAACGTTCCTCTACGGAAATTTACGTGAGTTCGGGCGCACAAAGCCACTTGTGCAACCATTTCGTGATTTCTATATGAAATACAAAAACAAAGCACCTTTTGGCGGCTTCTACTTGTTTATGCGGCCGGCAATTGTCTTGTTTGACCTTGAGCTAGTAAAGGATATATTAATCAAAGATTTTGGTAATTTTCCGCATCGTGGCAATTACTATAATGAAAAGGATGATCCACTCTCAGGTCATTTGGTTAATTTAGCTGGACCAAAATGGCGCACGATGCGCACAAAATTAACGCCGACCTTCACTTCTGGTAAAATGAAATTCATGTTTCCCACTGTGGTACACGTGGCCAATGAATTCGTTTCCGTCTTTAAAGATTTAGTTGAGAAGGAACACAAAGTGAATGCTTTAGCCATGGACACACAAGAAACTGTTATAGAGATCAAAGACTTGTTAGCACGTTTTACTACAGATGTTATAGGCACATGTGCATTTGGTCTTGAGTGTAATAGTCTGAAGAATCCACAAACGTTATTCCGGCGCATGGGCAGCAAGGTATTTACTGAACAACGTTATGGCAAAATAATGAATTCGATACTAAACGCTTTCCCGGAACTGGGACGGAAGCTACATATAAAACTGACACATGATGATGTAGATGAATTTTTTATGCGTGTTGTGCGTGAAACGGTGGAGTATAGAGAACGTGAAGGTGTTCAACGCAATGACTTCATGAATTTGCTTATAGAATTGAAGAAACATAACGAAACGGAGGGTTTCACCATTGAGGATATAGCAGCACAGGCTTTTGTCTTCTTTTTGGCTGGTTTCGAGACTAGTTCGAGTACGATGGGCTTCTGTTTGTATGAACTCGCTTTAAACCAAAATGTACAGGATAAAGCAAGAGCTGAAATACAAGAGATGTTGGATCGGTATAATGGGAAGTTTACCTATGAGGGTATAAGAGAACTAAAATATTTGCAGCAAATTTTTTATGGTGAGTCTTAAAATAAAAGAAATCTAGTTTAGATACATTAATAAGTTAAAAATATTCTTATTCATAAAAAGTTGTTCAGGAATATAATTAACCATAAAGAGCTTGGAAAAAGGATATTATTAAGAAATATATAAAATATAGAAGAGGTATTGTAGAATATAATTAATCATTAAAATCTTCAAAAATATAACTTTTATACATAAACCGAGTTCGATTTCTGGTACTTGCAGTCTCAAAAATAATTATTTACGAATAATTAAATACAAGAATTATTTCTAGAATTATTTCCAAGACCACTGATGATGGGTATTTGGCAATACTCGGAACAGCTGTATGGTCAACCAAAAATTCAATTAATTAAAATAATATAAAAAATAAATTTTTGTTGTTATAGTTCACTACTATTCGAAAAACCTCTTCATAAACAATTATAAAATGTTGTTGATGAAATTTTGCGAAGTCTTGGAAAGATTATTTTTATTCTAAAAAATTTATAAGATTTTGTTGAGGATTTTTGGAAAAAAATAATAATAATTTTTTTGGAAAAAAATAATAATAATTTCCTTGGAAAAAATTTTTTATTATATTTTAAAAAATTATAAAAATTTGTTGACTACTATAATTATTCATAAAAATCTGGAAAACTGTATGCTACAGTTATTCAGATCATTAGAATTATGACGCTTAAAAAACAATCTCCTTTTTTTTAACAAAGAAAATAAACCAGACGTTTTTAATATTACTAAAACTAGCAAATTGAATACTATTTCAATGTTTAAATATAAAAATATTTTATTTACAATTCATTGAATATATTTTTCAAAACTTAACCCGTACAGTATGTATATCTTATTTACTTTTCATTTCCAGAAACCTTAAGACTATATGCCATTGCTTCCTTTCTACTACGCAAAACCATCGATGACTACCCTGTACCGAACACAAACCATATTATAGAAAAAGGAACAATGATTATTGTACCAGTAGATGCTATACATTATGATCCGGATATATATCCAAATCCAACTATTTTTGATCCATCACGTTTCGAACCAGAGGAGATTGAGAAACGACATTCTATGTCTTGGCTGCCATTCGGAGAAGGACCGCGGAATTGCATAGGCCTACGTTTTGGAGAAATGCAGGCTATCATTGGCTTAGTAATGCTTCTGAATAACTTCAAGTTTACAACATCAAAGCAAACACAAATACCAATTCAAATGAATAAGAAATGTTATCTTTTAGCTTCAGATGGTGGAATTTATTTAAATGTTGAGAAATTGTGATGAACAGTTACAATAGATATTCTTCCTTACTATTCCTTAATAGACTTAAAAAATTTAATGTTTTAATTTTAATTTATTAAATATATTTTAAGATAAATAGAAATATTTTTTATTTTATGTATTATTTTATTTACACACAACCATAGCTATCGATATCGATAACTATGGTTGTGTTCAGTTAGGTTTGGCAATTCATCATTAACCGTTTAATGCTAGAACAAATCTTTCAAGTTTACTTTGAAAAAATAAACCTGTTCGGGAAGCTCATAGAGCACTTCTTCCATTTTACGGGTCAACATAATCGGCCTAGTAAGAAAACAATTCATGCAGTTATTGATCGTTTTCGTATTAATTTTAGTCTTCGATTAAAACCATCAATATTTGATTGTTTGGTGCGGTTTACATGCTGGCGACATCATCGGTCCTTATTTTTTTCAAAATGAGAAAGGAGCTACCGTTACGGTGAATGGCAACCGCTATCAAGCCTTGCTAACTAAGTGTTTGTCAGAAAATTTATTAGTTAAATATCGCCAAATCAGAAATCCAATGAGATGGTGCAACATGCAAAAAGCACACTAAACAATCGATTTATTGTGAAATCAGTTTGAAAAAAAATTAGTTTCCAGAAGAGGTCCTGTAAACAGGCTTCATCGTTCATGAGCAATATTAAGTAATTGGTTTATGCCGACAACTGACATATCAGCAACTCTTCAAACATTGGAAGCCAATGTTCATACCACCATTTACACCATACGGCCACATTTATTGCAAAAAATAGTCTGTCAAAATTGGACAGATCGAATGGATCCTGTAATTTGTAGCCACGGCGGACATGTGCCGGAAATCATATTCAAAAAATGAATGTCAAGAATTAATCTAGGAGATTATAATAAAAAAAAATGTTCATTTTAACAATATTTGTGTTGTGCATTCTTTTTCTTCTATCGAAAAAGTGATCTTGTACTTTTATTGCACCGTCGACGTAAATTCTTCAGCCATGATATCTTTTCCAGGCCCACATCTGCCTCCAATGATTAATTTCAGTAGTCCGTACTTTTCCGGATGCTTCAGAATATGAGCACAAAACTCCAACTTAAGGCGTTTCACTGTCTCTAATATTTCTGACTCTTGTGCATTATCATTTTAAGATCTCATGCATATTAAACACCTGATATTAATTCCAATATATGAAGTGCAATATGAAGACACTTTATACTAGCTTTAGATTATCCTCATATCGAAACCTGATAACATTTTTACCATTAATATAATGCGATAAAAAATTATTTAATTTGAAATTATATATTGTGTATTTTGCAACATTTTCTAATGCATTGCCATAATTTTATTTAATATTAAAAATTCCATTTAAGACCTGCTCAGCTGCATTTATAACACTGCACTTCTTTCCACATCCGTTCTCCACATAATGTTAGTCTCGTGCGCTTTAATATTGTATAACAAAGTTTTCATTTTATTGAAATATTTAAAATTTTAATCACAATTTAAGTTAATGAACTTAAGTTTCTTTAAAAAAAAAAAGCAGAACGCTTTGAGTACGCGCATTTCATAAATGTGAAATGCTTTCGCAGTGGCACACTAATAACGTGGAAAACACTTGAACTAGATTTCCATTATGAGTTGATACCCACTTTGGAGCACTTCACATGCAAACCTCTTTTGAGCAGCTCCATTTTTATGCAACACAAAAGCTATTCCAAAGGCAAACACATATGAAAATTAATGTATATTTATAAATATTCTCATCCTTATGTTAGTGAAAAGGACCTTGAATTCCACATGTGCCACTTCCTTTTCCAGTCTAAGGAAGTGCCACTATGTGCAACTAAACTTGGAGAATTTAATAAAAAATAATAAAATCTTAAAATGAAAACTAATTACAAAAAAAAAAAAATTAGATACATTTAAGAAATTAAGCTCGTATCTTCCTCTACTCGCAGGAATCGCTCACTCGGACACTGCAAGTATTGTGAAGACCCCACAACTGCACTACTGCTAAGATTCAAACTCTCATGTGCTGGTTCTGCGTGTGCATATGTGCTGACCCAGTTCAAGTCAAGCGTTTAATTAAATTTTTTTCTTTGCATTTAGCAATCTAGTGTTAATAAGAAAAATAAATACATTTACAGGGTGTGTGTCTATGTGTTGTTTGTGTAAAAGTTCAGACAAAAGTTCAAAAAAGATACACAAAAAAAAAAAACAAATAATCGTCTTAAATTATTTGCGATTGTAAGTCCAGCAAAAATAGAAGTGGCAATTATCAACATTTCTCAAAACTTATGACTTCTCTATTTCGCCTCGGAATATGCAGTTATGGTACATAAGTGGAAGATGTAATCTTAACAAATGCAATTATAAACGAACTGAGACGAGTACGACTATAAAAATTTCAGATGCTAATCACTCGCACTGATATATGTTCCATTTTGTATGGATAGTTTGTATGTTTATAGATATGTGCATCCATCACAATGCTAATTGAGTGGAGGAACCTAATTTCGAACAAGACTTCCTTGTTTAAGTTGTTTAGATGAAGTGCAGTGAAAATATAAAGATTGTTGTAGGAAAAATTAATTTTGTTATAAAATAATAAAAATGAAGTATGGGAAGTACATGATGTTTGCTTACAGTTTCAAAATATTTAGTAAAAAAAAATATAGATACTTTGTACTTCAGATTTATTCCAATGCAGTTTCAAACGAATAAATGTTATTTATTGCTAGTACATCTTCTTCTTCTTTCAATTAAGGTCATATAATTCTTGAACCGCAAAAGCTCTGAATCGGGAAGATGTCTTAATAATAATTGTTATGTTGAAGCTGTTTTGAGCTAGTTCACTTAAGTACTTTTACTCTTTCTTAATTAGAAGTATTTTTAAAAACCCTCTTTACACCTTGAATAGATTATTGTTTATCACTTTATCAAAGCAAGGTCATCCATTAGACCCAAGTATAACTAATGTCCACTATGCCTATCTAAAGTTCCAAATTTGGTGTCTACCACAAAATAACGGAAAAATTAGCTACCGGTTGTTTGTATTTAAAGCTTGTTAATAAATCTGTAGTTAAAATTAAATATAAAAAGTTTGAATTTGATAAACGCCCTTATCAATAGTTCAATACAATGATTTCTCTTGAGAAAGCTGTTATAATAGACCCTTACCGAACCATTTTTATTTCTTTATTAAAATTTAGTTCAATTGAATAATTCAATTGAATTATTAGTTAATATGATTAATTTAATGAAAATAAAAAAAAAAGATAACACATATATTTTTGAATTTGATAATCCTTCTTTATACGACTTCTTTATAGAACAGATATAATTTTGGTTTATAAGTGTAAGTTTGAGGGAGACTACAGTCAGATAATCTATAAAATTCTCTATTTGTTTTATGATTACAGTACTCAAATTCTTGTTTTTAATTATACTAGTATTGTTAGTACTGATTGGTTTTATCAATATTAAGCTACTATACTCACACCATTCTGAACCAAGGAAATAGTAATAGGTATATCTGTATCTAATAAAATTCTATTAAAACTTTTTCTAATTGGCAAACAAGCTATTATACTATGAACGGCATAATCTGAAATCAACGATAGCATGTGATTAGTTAGAGGAACAGGAAATCGTGGACCATCTTTCCTATCAATGCCTGTCTTGTTTTTTGAAAAATCTGACAAACGCATATAGTACGACATTTATTGAAAAGCTTCCACAGATGGAAAGTAGCGTTATGCACATACTGGAAAGACTCATCAAACACACCAAACGGTTTAGAAAGTGATATGTAGTGCACTACAATTATAGAATAGCATAATGAAGACCAAAAATAATAACAGAAGTGAGTTTTTTACAAAATATTTTTATTTAAAAATTTTTGTTAACAATTTGTAAATATTTATATATTTATTAAAAAATCTAAAAATAAACTCCTTATAATTTTCGATTTGCTGATATTAGAAATATACCGGTCAAATAAAATAGTATTAAATTTTATACAGTCAACAATTAATAATTTTTATATAATATTAGCTATAATAAATTACACAATAGTAATATATTTAATATACATAAAAAATTTTTTCTAGTCTTAGAAAACTGACTGTCTTGAAACCCAAAGCCTGTAAATAAGTAACAATAAAAATCTTTTTCCGTATCGCTCAACTTTACAACACACAAAAAATTTCGTAAATTTTATTCAAAATTTCCGCATTCAAACTACAACAAACCTTCTTCCACAACTCGCATTTTAAAACTGTTTGCCGCTTATTCCACTTCAGATATTTTTCTTGAAAATATCTTGTTACTCCTCAAATGCTCAGATTGGAATACTAATAACATTGATGTTCTCAATGCAAAATTATACATTGAGATACTTCGAGGCAAGCTATTGTGGACTGCTGTTAAGATAACATTTAACAAATATGTTTGGCTGAATTTTTATAGCATGAGATAAAAATGTATAAAGTCTAACATTTTTTTATAAACCAACATTCGTACTGTTAAGGTTTATGTTAAACAAATCATTAATTTTTCACGTTTCTTTAATTATTTTTGCTTTGAAAAATTATAAAAAATTTTAAAAATCATATATTTTTCATCTTAATCACTATTTTATTATTTTGTTTATTATATTATATTATTTATTAAATGATTTTTATTTATATATATGTTTTACTTATTTATGTATAATTTTTTCAATCAGTTTCAAGAAATTTTTTATTGTTATAGTTATCTTTAGTACCCTGACGACTTAACCCGTAAAAAAATGTTTATAGTTATCTCCAGTATCCTAACCATTTAATCCGTAAAAGCGAAATGTGTTCTTTAAATATAAATAATGCACTCTGAGAAACGTTTTCAAAAGCATTGAATCAACATCGTCTCCAGTAAATGAAAAAAACCTTCTAATTTACTTTTTTATATATTTTCGAATGGTTTTGTAAGTCTCTATTTATTCTTAATATTGTTTA